AAAAGCTGAACCGCTCATAGCTTTTATGAATGATGAACTCAAGCTCGAAATGAACACAAATCAAAATGTTTCGACTGAAACAGTGGTACTGTTATTGACGCTGATTCTCAACGGTTTTTAAATACTTTGAAATCACAAGTATATGTGTCATATTTTAGTTATCATAAGTCTATTGTCTCCACTCTTCCCCAAATTGAACAAGAATAATTATTTTTGGTAAAAATATTGCACATTACTCCGGTTGTTAATTAAATACAATTTTCATTAAAGATATAATTATTCGATAGAAAATTAATTATCTCTAATCATACCCGCGTTCTCATATTTTTTAAGGAAAAAAAGTTAATATTGCGTATTTACCACGATAATATGTCAGATGTTACATATCATATGCGACTACTGTAAGACTCGTTTCTTTTTTTTATTATTATTGTTTAATGTGCCAAATAAATATGAGTAAAAAGTTTGGTTTTTTTCTTTATGAATATAAATTAGTTCTTATTTTATTTTATAAATCCTCTTCTTACGCCACCAGAGGGCCTCGCGAAATGTATCTTGCAGACATTAAGTTCAGGTCTAGCGCCGCCACTGCTCGACAGTGTCCATGCATCCTGAAATTCACCACTAATTCACCATAAGTAAAATCCCAAGAGTATCACTGATCCTCCCACTTGTCGATTGTTTCGTTTTTTGAGTTTCTTCAAATTATTACAAAAATGCTTGTTAGGAGGGACCAAGACTTTAGATTTTTTTTTATCAGAAAATATTGCTTGCTTCCACGCTTTCAAGATATGATAATTTTAGATCAGGCCAGTAGCGCACACAGGAATTATTCAAGGAGGGGGGGGTGTCCAGGGTTGAAAGTCCACCTTCTTGTATTATGCTCCCTTTGATTTTGTCGATTTTCGGGAACAAAAAACAGGAAAAACTAATTAGTGAACAAATAATTTGCATTAATTAATAAAATCAATCCTTAATAACAAATACTTTATTAAATTTTACGTACTATACGCTTAGAATTATAATCAATCAGAAAAGAAATCAAGGGCCTTAGGGAGAATCCGGACCCTAGGACACGCCCCTTGTGTGCGCCACTGGATCAGGCCAATCTCTCTTTCTCGATTATGTTTCAATAAATGGTTTTTCCTCCATTTTCATAAATTTTGAATTAGTAATTGATTTTGAGTCAAAATTGAATTTGTTTGACATTTCCGAGCTGTTACATATGAAGTGCCTTTGCTGAAACGTTTCAAAATTTTCCTGTTAGAAATATCTTTTTTTAATTAACAATCGAAACAAGAAATCTATCCATCGTCTCTCATGCAGTCAAAATATTTTTTCTTCCTGCTCATTTAATCATTTTTTTTTACCATTCTTTTTTAATTACGACGACGTTGTGAATGACAGTTAACAGGGCCGCTTTTCTGCTTAAGCACGCTAGGCACTTGCCTAGGGTACAAAAGATTTTGGGAGCGCAAAAATATTAGAGGGTGAAAAATTAGAAAAAAATTAAAATTACAGCGAGCGTACCACCACCGAGTCATGAGAGAAACATTTCTGCTCTTAAGAGAAAAAAGACTGAAATGAGATCTACTATGTGGAAAAAGTAATATAAAAAAAATTTAAAAGTCAATTCCTACTTTGGTCACAACAAAGAAAAACTTTATTTCAGTTACCTTTTATTAAAAATAGTTACACAATTAATATGTATATACATATGACAGAATCACAATATTATAAATGACAACATAGAAAGTGATTTTCCTTTCTATATATGGTGTTGGACTATTATTTTTGCTTGTTACTATTTAAAACGTGAACTTACCGCGCTACACGATTCGTTATTTCTTATTGCAGGGCTGACATCTACCCGATGTCTGGTTTTGGTGTAACTATTCTAAGAATACTGAAAAGACTAGGATGTGACACACAAAGCATTTAATCGCACAAACACAACATTACATAGCGAAGTTTTTTTTGTACATCTAGAGAAAGAACAGAGCAGCAACATTATTGCGTCATCAGCTTGACGCTGATTAGTTGGAGAGGCGATGCCATTCCGTGCACACACGACACTATCTATTCATTCATTCATAAATCACATTCTCAGAAATTAAGCCGTCCGAGGTAGGATTCGAACCCACGATCTTTGAATTAAAAGTCCAACGCGCTATCGACTGCGCTACAGGGACACAACGAGCGATTTTCCTTTTTATATATTGTGTTGGACTATCATTTTTGTGTGTTTCTGTTTATGCATTAAGTGTACAAGAAGAGTGGCCAAACCCTGCCACTATCCTTTCCTTAATGACTGCCTGTTGCCACTCCGTGATATGGAGAGTTCATAGGTGGTGATAATGAAAAGACTCTCCAAAAGCAAAGAAAGGGAAAAGAGTGAGTTAAGGGTAATTTCTCCCGAACCAAAACTGGCAAGATTAAAACTGAAGGAGGGGGAGGGGGAGTGCTCTGGAAATAGCGGAGGTGAGGCGTAACAACTTGGTGCCTAGGGCACCGGGAAGGTTTAAAACGGCCCTGACAGTATTGGAAAATATCATTTAATGACAGTAAATATTTTACTGCAGCATAGTGCCGGTTTATCCATTGACGAGGGTGCCCAGGGGTCCGAATAAGCTGGATGTAACCATATTTTCTTATTATAAATTTCGATTAGCCAGTGCAAAGGGGGCCTGTATAGATCGTCTGTACCCAGGGCCCGAAAGGAGCTTAAATTGGCACTGTTGTAGCATTGTATTTTTTATTTTAAGCAGGGTGGACGTGCTAATGAGTGTATATATAATGATATGTTTCTCTTATATTTAAGTTTTTTTATTTAATCCTTATGTCTGAATAAG